AAAAAAAAAAAAAAAAAAAAAAGACACTGGGTAGTGGGAAGCGAGCCCTAAAGAAACAGTAGCACAAAGGAGAGCAGATTTACAACTGTGCTAAGTGCCACAAATGAGAGGTACAGTAGGCACTAGGGTCATTTGGCCAAGTATGAGAGGAACAATAAGGTGTCCCCGAGCCAGGGTTGGAGGAGGATATCAGTGAACGCAGTGTGGGATAGAGGCTATGATGGAGACACTTCTGTATTAACTAAAACCATTTTCCCTACCTCTAGGCCACAGCTAGACTATAGCCCAGGCAGTGAGGTGTGGTCACATGACTGGATTCTAGCCAGTATTGTGGGCACAAATGATAGATGCTGCTGTACTCACAGCCTACATAGAACCTCATACACATCTTCAGCTTCTCTCACCATGCTCCCCACTGCTTAACTATCTGCCCCCCAGATACACAGGATCTAACAGGTCCCTTTCAAAAACCTCACAGATGAAAGAAGCACAGCCACGTGGCAGCTCAGTCTCTGAATGATTGTGTGAAAGGCTATCTACCAAACAGGAATATCCACAATGGACTTTACAGAAGCAACAAAGAAACATTGATTGTGTTAAGCAGTTGAGAGGCTCAAGTGTGTTGCCGCAGCTAGCTATTACTCTAAGGTAGACCGGGAGAGTTCCATGCAAAGAGAACAGTGTGTGGAAAGGACTCAGATCCCGTTAGAGGAATTTAAAGAAGACCAGTGTGACTAAAGAAGAGAAAAAGCAGGTCATTGGTGTGAAATGAGGCTGGAAGGGCCAGACTAATAGTAGATTTTGGTCCTTGGGGGAGCCAGTGGATGGATTTAAGGTATATGAGGATGTAAATTAACTTGGTGATGAATTAAATATGGGGAGGGGACATAAATGAGAGAGAAATGTCAAGTTCTGGTGTAACTGGATGGATGACAGGGCTATTCACAAAGGCAGGGACCAATAAAAGAACATAAAATCTGAAGGGAAAATTCACTAACTCACTTTGGATATATGCGCTTTGGAGGTCCATTTGAGGCCTCCAAGTAGTGATGTCAAGTGGGCAACTGGATACGCTGGTTTGGGATTCAGAGGGAGGTCTCATTGGAGTTAGTTGTGAGTTATTGTTAATGGGTCAATGGACATCTGAAATCACGGCCAGGGAGGGAGTACAGAGCAAGAGGAGAACGGGCCTTGAAGAAGTGCAGCTTTTGATCTTCTAGACCAGGAATCAGTGTTATGCTTGTGCCTAGATGTCCCCACAAAGCCTCATGTAGTCATAGGTGGGGTTTTTTCAGAGGTAGCTGAATCTAGAGTGTGTGACTGATTCATGGTGCCATGCTAGGATTAAGGGTGCTTGGATTAAGGGTGGGTGATTACTAAATCAGTATACTGATTGATTTGGCATTGCCCTAATCCCAGTAGTGTGGATACAATATAAGGGGTAAAGAGGTTTGTCTTCTCCCTCTCTTGTTGCTTTTGCTACCTTCTGCCTGCCATGAACTGTTCTCTGTGAAACCACCCTGCACTGGAGCCAGGTGATTATGGACTGGAACCTCTACAAACTGTGAGCTAAATAAAACTTTCCTCCCTTAATTTGTGGATTTTGGTTATTTTGTCTGAACAGTGTTTAACTACAACAGTCAGCAAACCTTTCCATCAAGGACCAGATAGTAAATGTTTTAAGTTTTGCAGACCATACAGTCTTTGTTATAACTACTCAGTCTGCTGTTATAGCCCCAAAGCAACCCCAGACCATACATAAACAAACAGTTGTGTTTCTTTTCCCAAAAAATTTATTTATGGACTCCAACATTTGAATTTCATATACTTTTAATGTGTCATGAAATATTAATCTTTAAATGTTTCAACCATTTAAAAATGTAAAAATCACTCTTAATGTACAGGCAGTACCAAGACCAGGGTTGGCCAATACAGCTGTTTAATGAATTTCACTAGAACACTGCCCTCCTTTCCTTTACATAGTTCCTCCTATGCTACTAGGCAAAGTTGAGTAGTTGCAACAGAGTAAAATATTATCTGGCCTTTACAAAATGCTTTAGCTGACTTATGTTCTAGACTCCAGAGGAGGATGAGATGAACCGTAATGTTGCCTACTATGTGCATAATGATGGCTAGAAAGGGTGCAGAGCCTCTTGTGTTCAAATGTGGCAGTCAAGAGACACTTACTACAGAATGCAGGATGGAGAATTAAATTAAGTTTTGTCAGGATGTAAAATTCCATCCATCCAAATCAGGTTGAGTAAAACATTGAAGAAAGTCATAATTAAAATTGAGAGAAAGATGAATGGTACCTAGACCACGTGTGTCACGCTTTCTGTGAAGTTACGCTTCAACCAAACGACAAGGATTTAGGCTCCTGGCTGATGTGGCAAGCACAGTCTGGTCATCAGATCTATTTCCTATAGGGCTATTTGAAGCCCCTGGAAATATATTTAGGTTCCACAATAATTTTACAATTTTACAACTTTTCTTCCCAATTTCATCAGGTTAAAGAGAATGTAGCTTTTCTGTCAAATCTTAAACTAAGTAAATATTGGTTAAAATTCAGTAAAAGTGACTATTTCACCTTTGACACAGATTTCTGAATGAATATTCTAAATGTATAAATTATGCTTGAAGGCAGAATTGGTTTTAAAATTTGTAGTTTTAATAAGTTGAATGTTAGTTTCAACACAAGTAGCTGTATTTTTTGACATGATCAAACATCTTTCATGTAACAAACTTACTAAGTACCTATCATGTATCACATAATATGCTATAACACTAAGGATATAGATGTAAACAAAACAATGTCTAGCAAGAATTCTGTTAGTAGGCCTGATTATAGACAAAAAGATAGATAACATGTTAGGTGATGTGACAGTTAAACTGGATTTCCAAGTTGGTTGGCTTGAGAGCTGCCTAAGGGATTAGTAAAGCAGACCCCTGGATATGTCTGGGTGGATCAAGGAGGCATTACCTTGGATATTTTATCTGATTCCTTGTTCCTTCCTCTCTCATACTGTTCCTGTACCCTGTTCCCAGCCACCATGAACTAAACAGCTTTGCTGTGCTATGCCCTTCTGTGTGGTGCTTCTGCCTTACAGCCGCCAACCATGAATTGTCACCTCTGAAACTGAGCCAAATAAACCTCTCCTCCTCTAAGTTGCAGTTGTTAGGTATTTTGTACACGAACAGGAAAGCTGACTGATACAGAAAATTGGTATCAGAGAAATGGGGTTTGGTGCTGTGCCGATACTTGACTACGTGGTTCAGAAGCCTGTAGAACTGGTTTCTGCAAAGAGTTTGGAAAGGCTTGGAGATGTGGGCATTATGGTTTGTGTCTGGGTGTCCCTCCAAAGCCTCATGCGGCCATGGGGGGGTAGGCTTTTCAGAGATGGATGAATCTAGTTTGTGATTGATACATGGTCCAGTGGTGGGATTAAGGGCATGAGTGCTACACCCACTTTAAGGTGGGTAGCCTGTGTACAACATAAGGGATAGAAAGAGATTTGTTTCTATCTCTTTCTCATTTTTTTTGCTGTCGTCCACCATAAACTGTTGCCCCTCTGCCATGTGCAACCCTGTCTTGGAGCCAGCCAGTTACAGACTGAAACCTCTATAAACTTTGAGCTAAATAAACCTTTCCTTCCTTTAATCTTGGGTGTCATGTACTTTGTCTCAGCAACAAGAGGAAAGTAACTAAGACAGGGGGTGAGAGAAGTTGTAGAATGTTATAAGCAAAGCCTTAAGGGGTGATTCTGGTCAGAGCTCAGAAGACCAGAATGCTGATAGAAATGCAGACAGTAAAGGCCTGGATCATGAGGTTTCAGTTGGGAATGGAGATTCTATTGGGAATTAGACTGGAGATCATGCATGCTACACTGTGGCAAAAAGTGTGTCTACATTTTTATCCATATTCTAGAACTTTCTGTGAGGCTGAATTTAAAGCTGGCAGACTAACTCTTCTGACAGAGGAAATTTCAATGCAGCCCTACATTCAGACTGTGGCATGGGTACTACTGAATGTTTTCAGTCACTCAAAGGCCACTGCAGCCATGGCACAAGGAGTCCTGGTTACTGCTCAAGCTAGCAGCAGACTTCGGCATTACACATGTGATACTGTTTTTTTCAGGAATACAGAATGCAACCACTCTGGGGTCAGGAAGGCTTCCACCCAGATTTCAAAGGAAGGCCTGAGAAGCCAGGCAAAGAGCTCCAGTAAGACTCCAACTTATAAATGAGTTCTGTTTTGGGAGAACTGCTTGTAAGTTGGATTCATTCATAAGCTAATGAAGTGAGTCTTATACAGTACAGCTGTGAGAGTTTGCAACTCAAATGTTTGTAAGTCAGGGACTTACTGTACATGAAACTGAAGATGCACTGGAGACCCTTGGAAGTCAAAGGTGTTAGAAATGTGTCTCAGGAAAGCTGTGAATGGAACCAGCCCAAGAGAGAGTACATGTGGTATGCAACCAGCAAGGCTATCAGGGTAGGATCACCCATGCCCTCTGGAATTCATATCTCAGCATTTGCCCCTGTTGCTGGACATGCAGCTATAGGCCTTATGCTTGCCATGTTGCACTTCCATCTTACTTTGATCCCATTCTTTTGGTGTCCCCCTATTCCTCCCTTACCTTGCACCACTGGATATTGGAAATATGAAACTTATTTTTAAAATATTTTTCAGGGCTCACAGCTAAGAGTTTGCCCCAGGGGCTCCAAGTTAAGAGTTGCCTGGAATCTCAGAGAAGACTTTGAGTTTGGACTTTTAGGCAAAGCTAGAAGTGTTGAGACTTAAGGGAGGACATTAGTATATTTTTGGTTGTACACAGGATATGTTAGAATTACGCCTTGTGTTTCTTTGGGGATTAAGTATGGTTTAAGGAGGTAAGTGTGAGTTTCAAATTGACAGTTAAACTGGATTATCAACTGGATTGGCTTAACAAACACCTAGAGGATTAGTAAAGCATACTTCTAGATATGTATGGGTAGGTCAGGGAGGTATGACTTGAGTATTATATCTGCTCCCTTGTTCCTTCCTCTCTGGTACTGTTCCTGTGCTCTGCTTCACCACCACCCTGAACTACCATGCACCTTCTGTGTAATACTTCTGGCTTGCAGCCAGCCAACCATGGGCTGAAACTTCTGAGAGTGTGAGCCAAATAAACCTCTCCTCCTTTAAGTCACTGATGTCAGCTATTTTGTCCAGCAATGGAAAAGATGACCTGTATTGGTGGTAACTGTTACAAAGAAAAATACCACTTAAAAACTCAGGTGAAAATTAGAAAAATGAAGGGTTCTGCCCTTACACTAACTAGAAGGAAAAAAAAAACTGAAGAAACTTCAAAATCAAAACTTTTTTTTCAAAATCACAACTTTCCCTGAGGCCAACAGAAAACTACAGTCTCAGAGAAATCCTTTGGCCTTAAATCAAGGGAAAGTTCAGGATCTGTCAGGAGAGATGGGACATAGACAGTGGCTCACCTGGACTGGAACACAAGCATTTAAGAAGAAATTGGCTAAAATTTTTAATAAATGTGAAAGACCAAGTGTGGCCTAGAGTAAGAAAGTGGAACTCCTGACAGCTGTGGACAACAGGGGGCTTCACAGCTACTTGTGTGAAAAAGATGACTGCAAAAAAACTTCCATGTAGCATGATCTGCTCCTGGAAGAGAGCAGCTACCATGGTAGAAGAGGCCTCACCTTCTCAGCCCTTCTACCTAGGGAACAAAAGTTTTCAGTTGTTGAGGAAGAACAGCAAACCCTGCCAGCCCAGGGCATGGCACATGGAGAGGGAAAAAACCCTACTCCTTTTGAGGCAGGAGCAGAAAACCAACCTTGGTCCTGAACAGTAAAGGTCTCTTACTGCCAGGAGGAGTAGGACCCCTGAGAAAGGCCTGTGCTGGAGACACAGCACCTCAAGGTTGCCGAAGACTGGGGAAGACCAGCTGCTCTTGGCATGCAAGCCCTGGCAAGCCCTAAGTAACAAGCAACAGCAGTGTACTGCAGGGAAGCAAGCGAGGGACATGAGTCGATAAACCCCTCCATGGTGCAGGCACACAGTGGAGGCTAAACACCAAAGACAAAGCAGAGACACTAGGAAGACAGCCTGGAAGCCAGGTAAGGACCAACTCACTCCCTGCTGTGTAAACGGATGCCCTCACACGAAGATATAAGTAGACTGCACGTACAAGGGTAGCAAGATGCCATGCAAATCATAAGCAGGGAAAACTGTGCAACTAACTACATTAAACTCAGACAAAGTAGACACCAAGAGAGGGAGTATTATTAGAGAAAGGGAGATAATTACAATTAAAAAGGGTCCATAGGTAGATAAAACAATTCTAAGGGTATATATACCTGATAACAGACTTAAAAATATCGGACAGCTGGGTGTGGCGGTGCACACCTGTAATCCCAGCACCTGGAAGGCTGAGGCAGGAGGACTGCCATGAGTTCAAAGCCAGCCTGGACTACACAGTGAATTTAAGGCCAGCCTGAACAACAAAGGAGCTCCTGTCTCAAAACAAAACAAACTGACAAATACCTGGAATACTATACTAACAATATGAAAAAGACAAAAAACCTCCACAACCATGATTGGATATTTTAGCACTCTTTTCTCAGTACCTGAGAAACATTAGACAAAACAAGAGTACAAAGACAATCTAAGTGACCCTACTAACCTCTTTAACTGACATTTATCAACACTATCCCAGCTAAATTATGGAATACACATTTTTTTCCTAAGTACATATGAACGTTCACCATGATTGAACATAGATTGGACCATGAAACAAGTTGAAGTAGATATCAGAAGAAAGAAATCTTATAGATTATGTTACCTGACCACAAGAAAATTAAGTTAATTTTTGTTTTATTTTGTTTTGTTTTGTTTTGTTTTCCAGCCCTGGGGATTAAACCCAGGGGGCTGTGCATGCTAGGCAAGCATTCTACCATTGAGTTACATCTCCCAGCCTGAGAATTAAATTATACTGTAAATCAACAAGTCCAAAATGCTGAGAGGAGCCCCATAAATTTGGAAATTAAACAACTGATTTCTCAACAACCATGGGTTGAAAGACAAAAATCACAAGAAAAATTAAACATATTTTAACAGACCGAAAATAAAAATTGAGGGAGTAGGTAGCTCAGTAGAGAACATTCTTAATATGCATGGGGCCTTGGGTTCAGTCCCTGACACCCACTAAGTAAGGAAGTAAGTAAATAAGTAAATGAATGAATAAGTGTTTACAGAAAATCAAACAGGACATGGGCATTGGAAAAATTCAAGAAAAACATGAAATCGGCCCTATCGATTTTATATCTGCAGTTCCTTCCCTCTTCCCTTGACTAAACGGGTTATTCAACTCTTAGCTTAAACATCACTTCTTCTTGAGAATTTTCCTTGATTCCAAATATTAGATTAGATACCCATCCCCCTCATATACTTATTTCACAGCACTGTGCATTTCTTCATAATGCTAACCATGCTTATATTGTGATCCTCTGCCCAGGATGTCTTCCCTACATCTGACAAGCTTCATAAGTCTTTCATTTCACACGTATATACCTAATGTCTAACACAGAGCATGGCACATGGCAAGTGCTAAATAAACATCTGTGACTCCATGGACACACTCCTGCCTTGGCCTGTGTGCCATATACTTTCCCCACCCCAGGAATTCCTGGGCCCACACACCCCTAGTGCAGGGAATTAAAGGGCTGGCCTTTAGGCCAGAACAGCTCACATCCCACCCACCCATTGTGCCCCTGAGGAAACAGGTCAAGAAGCAGGGAGTCACCTTGTTGTAGGCCAGGCTAAGGTACCTCAGCTCTGGGAAGGGAGGGGCCAGTGTCTGGTTCCTGGCCTTCAGTGACTTCACCGGAAGAATCTCAAATATGGGAGGAAGCGAACATACCTTGGTTGTCTTGGAAAAAAGAAAAGTCAGAGTTAAAATTGAGGCTGAGAAAGAAGCTGATGCTACCAATGGCCAAAACCTTTCCTTTGGAGTGTGATGAAAAGAATGAGTTTTGTAGAGACTTGGTCAAAAAGACATCCAGGAGTCATAAGGGTAGCTGTCACCACTGGCCAGAATTTTGGCTCCTAGGTCTATGAGGTCACATGGTGAGCTAATTCTCCAGCTCCAGCACAAAGTTCCAGTTTCAAGTTCTGGGTCCACAAGACACTATAGCCCTGCTGCAGCCATTAAAAGTACTCCTACCTTTCGCCCTACAGCAGCTGAACCTGAACTGGCCTTTCTACAAGGATGAGCTAAAATTTCTCCAGAAAGCAAAGGGCAGGACATTCCATTGTTCAGGGAAATTTTCTTAGCCTAGAGAGGGAGAGCAGGAGTGACTAAACCTGAGCACCTGGCTTGATGGGTATATTCTCCCATCCCACAGGATGAAATAACAAAGTCCTGAAGACTTAAGCCATGCTTTGGGGCCTGAACATGGAATGGCACTCCTGGGTCATTTGCAAGGGCATGGTCTCTCTGTACCAGACTGCCTCAGGGCAAAGATATTTGATCAAGCAGAAAAAGGAAGCTGTAGAACTAACCATATCTACCTCAGTTTACTCACTGATTACTTGAATTACCTAGGACCAAAGGATATTATTGCATGGGGTAGATACTGGGATAATGGTTGGTTAGGATGAACCACATTTTCCAGCCTCCAGTAACCACTAGGCACTGTTAGGGAAATCATTCAATTTTTACTTGTTTATTCAGTGAACAGTTGTGGCGGACGTAGGCCAACTTGTAAAGCCACACAAATCGAACAGGTCAGTTGTGCATGAGTATGGAACAAAAACTATTTGTACTATTTGGAAACTTCCGGTGACCCAACACAATCTCTGAGGGGGCAGAGTGAAATAGGTCAGTGGTCTTCAGGTAGGATGGGGGTGTAGAAGGAAGATAAGAAAATTATAATTTAAAAATGGTGCTTTTAAGAAAATCACAGCTTCAGGACACAGTTGCCCAAGGTTACAATGCCTTTTCTTCCCCTTTCAGGAAACTCACCTGGAAATAGAGCCTGCCTTTTCCTCCAATAGTATAGATTCACTCTACAGACCTCCACCCTCAAGGAAACAGCACTCTTAATTGGGTATCATATTTCTGAACAGTGAACACATGCAAATTGTTGCATTCTAACTTAGCCCACTAATGGATAACCCTGTAGACACTAGGAAAGCATATCCTAGGTCAGTGATAGCGAACCTTTTAGAGCTTTTTATGACAGCAAACAACCCACTTCAGCACACATGCCATAGGTTCGCCACCACTGTCCTAGATCATCCATTTTGAGGACACAACCAAAATCACATTCAAACCCATAACCTCAAACTCAAATGAGCCTCTTCCTTGAGCACCTGCACTCTATTCCTCTGAGTGTACTTCCTTAACTCTGCAATACATCTATCTGTGCCCATCACTGACACATCCTGAAATGCTTTTCTGTAATGTAGACTGGCAAACCCCCCACCAACTCTGGGGGTGGGGACAAGCTGAGGTGTCCATCTGCCCCTTGGGGGCTCTCTTCAGCTTGTCTGGTGACAGTCTGGCAAGGCAGCCTTCTCCACCAAGCACTTCCAGCTTGGAGCAAGACTAGGTGAGCAGCAGGGTGCCAAGTCAGATGACCTGAGGGTATGACCTACCCTGCTGGGGACAGGAAGAGCCCTGTGTTAGATGGAGATGTATCTGGCTTTTTTTTTCTTTTTTGAGACAGCCTCACTATGCAGTTCAGGCTGATCCCAAACTCATGGTGATCCTCCTGCCTCAGCCTCCTAAGTTCTGAGATTTCAGGTTTGTGCCACCATGTACTGCACATCTGACTTTTAGTCTCAACCATCCTAAATTTAGTCAGTAGTTGATCATAAGGGTGGATAGCCTGGGGGATGACAAACATGTGGCTGGCATCTAAACTGGGGAACTGTGGCCTTCAACTTGAGTCTGCACAAAGTGGGCTGGTTAGCATCGAACTTATCAGAACTGCACTGCCTTCTGACTTGCTTTGACCAAAACAGTGTAGCAAAAGTTACACTGTTAGAATTTCAGAATCTGGCAATTTTCCCAAGGTGGGGGAACATGCCAACTGTCCGCCTGAGTCCAGCTCCCAGCCAACCTGCGGCTGAATACAGCTGCCTGGGTGAGCCCTGGCGAAACCAGGAGAATGCCCTGGCTAATTCGGATAACTGAGAAATCATCACTTGCTATACTGTTGGTTCATTACACAGTAATAGGTAACTGGTACAATTTCCTCATACAGATGTACCTGTGAGGAGGTGTGTGCTAAGCTACCTCTCAAGGAGACAGGTTGGCTTAATATAGAGTTGTAGTTCTTATTATAAATAAACAAATCGATGTATAGTTTGGTACATGAGTCTCCATGAGCTGGGTTAGTGAGAATCTGCCCTGAGGGAAAACCCAGTTTTCTGTACTGACACAAATGAAGTGTCTGAGTATTTGATGCTAGGGTTAGAGCCTGGACAGTGGTGCATCTGGTAAAGAACTTTTCCACCTCTGGGGAACTCTTTAGCTTCAGGCTTCACCCTGGTGGTAGTGCTACCCATGTTGGCGAGTTGTACTACTCAAAGCAGCTACTGTTAACACACTATACTAGAAAGCATCTGCAGACAGAACAGGCTGATGTGGTTGGGGCCTGTCTGCTTAGCTCCCTCCTGCATCTCCAGGGCTACCACAGTGTCTTGTACCTGGCTGTCACTCAGCAAGTATCTGTTCAACAGATGGGCTTTCTCAGTGCGACCTATAGAAATGCCTCTTGTGGCCCTATTATTTGTTTTTGTCTGTTAAAATGAATGTTTTTAGACTTGGGATGTAGCTCAATCCTAAGTGCTTGTCCAGCATGTATGGGGCCCTAGGTTTGATCTCCAGGACCACAAATAAATAAAATAAAATTGATCTCCCCTAACTCAAGTTCTAACTCAAGTACACAAATATAAAGTAGGTAATCTTTACCTCTGAGGTTGAAAATCCCGGGTAAGATGAGAACACAACCTCTGAAACAAAAAAAACAGAATGAAGGTTGGTGAGACCATTGACTGACTCCCAGAGAGGTCAGAGTCTGATCCCAGACCCTTCACCCCACCTCAGGGTACCTCCTAGGCCAGTTCCAATGTTACGTGAGAAAAGGAACACAGTGGTGTCACCGGCCAGGTAGGACATCTCTCTACATTTGGATAAAATCCTAACTCGGTAACCAGGCCTCTGAGGCCCTGCACTGCCAGGCCACTCTCTACTTCTCCAGGCCTCCCCCACGCTACCTTCCCCATGCTACCCTCCCCTCACTCCCTGTATCTCGGCCACAGGAATCTGCCTCCTGGATTTGCAACATGCAAGTGCCTTCTAGCCTCAGAGATACTGGGAGTCCATGCTGAGCAGAAAGCCTTCCAGATGTCTTAGAAGACAGAAATGTACATAAAGGACATTCTGGAAAACATTCTTTGTCATCTCAGTAGAAATAGAATGTTTTGAAAGTCAGCGCATTCAAGAAAGATAGCAAAAGTCAGCACATGGTCATAAGGAGGAGGCTGTAGAATGACTTCATTCTTGGAACCATCAGGCTGAGACGAGCCTATGAACAGCTGAGCTCAACCTAAGGAGCAAAGCAGAGCATCTGCTGGGACGGATTCTGTGCGGGGGTCACTTGCCTTTACCCTGTGAACTCCACGCCTTTCCCATATTAATGATATTATAATGAGGAAGGTCACATGAAAATGAACAGTAAGAGGTGGTGGGGCCATACCTGCCATAAATAATTCTCATAGGTGAGGGTCTGCAAGGGATTTGGAAAAGGTTTATGCAGGGAACAAAGTGGGAGTTTGTTGGGGGATAGGATGTAGTTGTAAGTGTGGATGTGAGCAGTGATCTCCTGGGGAACCGAGAAAGATGGGCTTCTAGAAAGATGGGTTACAGCACACTCTGCCTGCGCAGAACATGTGCATGCCCATAATCAGGCAAGCAACCTCAGCCATCACAGCCTGCATTCTAATTTGACCGGGGACTGCTGCAAGAAAAAAAGGAACAATAAAGAATCTCCTAATATTTGAGAATAATTAACAGTACGAAAAGTCATGACATGTAAAAAAAAACAGAACACCTTAAAAAGTTATTTAACATAGAATAAAAACTTTAAAATTATCCTCTAAGAATTTCAAAGGGCTATTTCATTCTTAAATCAAGAAAAGCTCAGGGCTGGGGATTTAGCTCAGGGCTGGGGATTTAGCTCAGTGGCACGGCACCAGCCTGGCAAGCACAATGTCGTGAGTTTGATCCCCGGTACCAGAAAAAAAAAAAGAAAGAAAAGAAAAGAAAAAAGAAAAGCTCTTTGTGGAAGTAAAGCTATTGACAATTTTGTAAATTTAGGCCAGGAATGGTGGCGCATGCCTGTAATCCCAGCACTAGAGAGGCTGAGGCAGGAGGACTGTTGTGAGTTCAAGACCAGCCTCGGCCATAAAGTGAGCTCCAGGCCAGCCTGAACTGCATAGTGAGACCTTGTCTCAAAAAGACACAACAAAAACAATCTTGTAAACTTAAAATATGATATTCAAACATGATACTCAAATGTGCTCAATACAAACAGGCCCAGGTGAAAAGCTAATCCATAAAGTGGAAGATGGAGCTGAGAGACTCAGAATGTAATATAAACAGACAAAGGAATAGAAAGTATGGTAGAAAAGAGGAACAGAAGATAATTCAAAACTTTCATCAACTGAAGGAATTCCAGAGGAAGACTACACAGAGAACGTAAAGAAGGAGATAAAAAAAATGTTCTCCGCCGTGCTTAGTGGCACATGTAATCCTAATGGCCTGAGACTGGCAGGAGGATGGTAAATTCAAGTAACTTAGAGACTTAGCAAGACCCTGTCTCAAAAGAAAAAAGAAAAAATCTGAGGATGCAGCTTAGTGGAAGAGCACCCTTGGGTTCAATCCCACTGGGGTGGGAGGGGGATGTGTCTTCAAAATGAAGGAAACCACACATCTTTACACATCTTTCAAAGAATTCTCAAAATACCTAAAAAGATAAACAAAAAGTATTGCATATATAGATGCTTTTTAGTAAAATTTCCAAAGGATAAAAGGGAAATAAAAATGAATTTCCAAAAAGCAAAAATAGTTTTCCTGTAAAGAAATGGGAATCAGATTGGAATCAGACTTTTCACTGGCAACAATGACCTAAGAAGGCAGTGAGTAATATCTTCAGTTTTAAAAGAAAATTATTTTAAGGCTAGAATTCTCTGCTCAACCAAACGATCATTCAAGTATAATTTTAAAAAAAGACAATTTTTGATAGGGTCTCAGAATAAATCTACTACATGCAAAATATATTTGAAAGAATCAAAAAGCAAAATGAAAAGCAACATAGAATAAGAAACTTTCCTAAATAAGAATTCAAATGCACTAACCAGAAGGTAAAATTCTATAGATTTGGTGTTTTGGTCTGAATTATGTTACCCTCAGCTATATATGGTGAAGGCCTAATCCTCAGTACCTCAGACTGTGAGGAGATAGACAGCAACAAGGAAAGACTTTCAAAAGAATGCTGAGTGAAAACAATGAACAGAAGAATAAGCTCAACAGTGTATAACCACTATATAAATTAAAAACACATTACATGCAAGATATCTATTTACAAAGACCCATATACATATCCAGGAAAATATACCCCACACAAGAGCAGAAATTTATATGAAAATGAAAAGAAGAGCAAGGAGTAAGGATGGAGAAAAAAAAATGATGACAAGAGCTTTGTACAAATTACTAATTATACTGTGCTATAACCTGATTTGTATTAACTCTCTGCTTCTAAATTATACACACCCACACAATAGGAATCCAAGAGGAAAGCCTGAGATGTAAGCAGCTGTGGTAAGAAAGAAATAAAACTAACAATTCAATTTCTCAGTCTAAAGAGTGGTTGATACCTAATTAAAAAATTAAAACCCATCAAGATTATTATTATGGTTTATACATCATAGAAGTGATAAGGAGGGGAGGATAGATAAATTCATATTAAGATTTTCCTTTTAGTAAAGGGAAGGCTGGCATTTGGCTGAGTCTAGGTATTGATTGACAAAGGTGAGTTTTAAAGAGTTGACAGGATTTTAGGATGGCCATTAGAAATATAGAAGTTCTAGGATAATCAGAAGTATAGAAATGGGATTTATTTCTTTAAAAAGAGTAAAAATTGGAATTAAAAGAAGAGTTGGGGCTCACAAAAAGGCACAAGAGGAAAAAAAGTAAAAGTAAACAGAAAACATACACTAGTGGTTAAAAAAAGTTGAAACATCAGTGATTGTGAGGTAGGTTAAACTCTATCTAAGAAAGCTTCTATTGGGAAAAATATATAGTATTATTTTGTTTTTGAGATATCTTAAAATAAATATATCAAATAAAAGCCAAAGTCAAGGCCAAAATTACTAATAAGATAAGGTGGGATGTTTTATAATGATTAAAAGGCATAAACTACCAAAATAAAAGCCTCAAACCCAGTAACAGAGAACCAAAACAACTTAATAAAGAAAAATGCTACAAATCAAGGAGATGCTGTCAAATGCACAACAGCAGTGAGAGACTTTAATATACCGTTTCCAAAGTTAACAAACCAAGTAGACAGAAAAATTGTATAGGGAAGAAAATCTGAATAACCTAATTGCACTAATTATTAATTTACTGAGTATTACTTCCAAACCCACTCTTCTCTATTCTGCTTTGGATGCAGGAGCTGGGGCTCTGAACACCCCATTTCTCCTCGGTTAACTGGTTTCCTGTTAGACCCTAGCAACAGGAGATGGTATGAGAGGGAGACCGCTGCATTAGAAGAGGAAGAAGGGACTTGTTCCCCATGTTCCCTGACTGCTTGCAATTTTTATGAATGCCAGTGGAGTGACACCTCCTTAGGTATGCAGCACCTGAATCCAGCTGACAAGGTTTCCACTTTTATAAAGCAAGATTCTGATCCACCCGCCAGTGTGCTCTCTGTAGGGAACTGGGCCTCAGCTCCTGGAGGCCCGGCAGAGCACATAGACAGCAGCAGCAGAGATACACCTCATTCTCAGAGGCCTAAATTTTGGGTCTAAGTTCTAAGGGGCTCTTCTTCCTTGCTTCTAATTTCTAATCATCCCAACTTCTTCCCAACAAAGAAAAATCCAGGCTCTGGTGGCTTTAAGGTGAATTCTTCCAAAATTTAAGGAAGAAATAATATCAATCTTATTCAAACATTCCCTGGGAAACAGAAAAAAAGTGAGCCCTTCTGAATTCAGTTTATGAGGCAAACATAACCTTGATTGTAAATCCTGACAATACCATTATAACAAAGGAAAATAATACACCAACTTATCTCCTGAACACAGTGGCAAAAATCCTCCACAGAATGTCAGCAAATTCAATCAGGGATATACAACATGACCAAGTAGAGATTATCCTGGGGATGCCAGACTGGTCCAACATTTAAAATCAATCAATGTAACTAACCGTATTAAAGAAGAAAAATCACATGATCCTCTCAATAGATGTAGAAAAAGCATCTGATGAAATTCAACACACATTTATGATAAAAACTGTTAGGAAACTAGGAGTACAGGGAAATGTCTTTAATATGATTAAAGGTATCTGCAAAAATAGAGCTAATTCAGTTTTGAAATGCTGACAACTTTACTCTTGAGGTTGGGAATAACAGAAGCATGTCCACATCACCACTTCTATTCAACATCATACTAGAAGTGTTAACCTGCAAAATAAGGCAATAAGAGATATAAGAGGTATTAAGATTGAAAAAGAATCGATAAAATGGTCATAATTTGTGTCATGACCCTGAACATAGATAATCTAAAAGAACCTGGAAATGATTAGAAATAATAAGTGAATTTAGGAAGGTTACAAGATATGAGTTCAATATTTCTATATATGAGCTATAAATAAATCAAAATGAAATATAAAAAAGCATTACCACTGACGGTAGCATAAAAAAGATGAACTACCCAGGGATAAATCTTATGAAATATGTACATGATCCTACCATTGAAGACTACTAAAGCATTGCTGAGAAGAGTTTTTAAAAGACCTAGAAACTGGCAGGATATATTATTTTAATGTATTAAAAACTCAAGATTTATGAAAATGTCAATTCTTTCCAAACTGATCTATAGAATCAGTACTATTCCAATCAAATTCCAGCAGAATTTTATGTAGAAATTTACATGCTGATTTTAAAGTTTATATAGAAATGCAAAGGCCTTATAATTACTATAGCAATTTTGAAGGATAACACCTCACTACAGAACTTCAGTACTAGGAAAAAAGCTATAGTAATTTAGACACACATACTATCAATAGACAATACCTCCTCTATAACTCAGTGGGGAAAAAGGATATGGTCTTTTCAGTGCTGGTTGGGCCAATAAAATATACATATAAAAAAGCAAACTTTTAACCCACTTAATACCATATGTGAAAATTAATCCTAGGTGGATCATAAGCTAAAATGTAAAAACTAAAACAATCAAGCTTCCAGAAGAAAATATAGTGAAATAATCTTCATGGCAAAAAATCATTAAAACAGGAAAGAAAAAGCACCAATCATAAAAGATTGATGAATTGGACTCCACAGAACATCTGTTTATGAAAAGTCACCATTAAGACTATGAATAACCAAGCCACACACTGGGAGATTTTTGTAGTACATATACAAATAAAGGACTTGTGTGTGCAGAATTACATATAAGAAATCCCTACAAATCAACAAGAAAAAGACATAAAACTGAATTTAAATGTAGATGAAAGACATGATAGTCACTTTTGAAAGATGATGGCAAAGTAACCGACAATAATATGAAAAGGTATTCAATATCATTAGTCATTTGCGAGACCCAAATTAAAAGCACAGTGTATTACTCCTACATTCTCACCAAACTAGCTAATATTAAAAAGACTAAAATGACCAAGTATTTCTGAGGATAGAGTAAGTGGGACTCTTTTGCATCAACTGTGGGAATGAACACTGGTACAATCACTTTGGGAAATTGTTTAGCAGTATCCACTAATGCTCAAAATACCTTTATAGTTGATGATCCAGCAATTCCACTCCTAAATATATCTATCCAAAGGAAATGAGTGCTTATGTCTGATGAGTAAGAGGATGCACAGCTTTGTCCTAATAGCCCCAAACTAGACAGAACAGAATGTCTATCAACAGTAAAAAGGGCAAGGAAATTGTGGTATAAATGGAATAAATAAGAGCAATGACTGCTATTGACCTGTGCATAACGTTAATGAATCCCACAGACATAACATTAGGTGAAATGAATGAGACAAAGAGCACATGTTGCATAATTCCATACACATGGTTTCAAATCGGGCAAAACTAACCTCTGGTGACCGTAGTCAGAAAGTGGTTATTCTTAGAGGAGGTATTAATTGGGAGGGTGCCAGTGGGGACCCTGGAAATGTTCTGCACTGTCAGATGAGTAATGGCTAAAAGGACACATATACATAAAAATTTAAGTTCTACACAAGATTTCTGTATTCTACCCAATGCAAGTCATTTTCTTCAATTTGAAATAAATGTAAAAAAAAAAAAACCCTCAAAAAATGATCAGCGAACAGAATACAATCAGAAATATACTCCTGTATTAAAGGTGGCAGTTCCTTCTTTTGCCTTTGATGCCGCCATGTGGATGTGCCTCTTAGAACTGTGGTAGCCGTCTTGAGACCCCAACGGCAGCAGCCCTAAAGGCCAAGCCGGCTAGGGACGGCAGAGAAGGGAATGGAAAGACCCGAGCTGCCTGAGGGCATTGGTGTGCTACAGAAGTAACTATCTGTGACAGCCTTACTTTGGAGTTTCTTGTCATCTGAGATTAAAAAAAAATTATATCCACTTTTAATTGGATCTCAAAAACATCTTAACTGATAGAAGCAGTTAGAAAGTCAATGAAATAGTTCAAACCATTGAATAGTTTGGTTTAAATGCAGCCGTTCCCTAGGGAGCCACAGATTTTCAGGATAAACTCCCAGAAGTTTACTCTCACCATGCAGCTGCTGTATCTATCTGCAACAAGGGGCATCACTCACCTGTCCGGTCAACGTCCTTTTTCATCGGCAGAACAGTGTAGTTGGGCTGATCATCGGAGGCCTCATACACCCAAGACCTGGGCTGCAGCACGGACTGGGGCTCTTTCCGAGTACTTGCCTTGCCTCCAACCCAGTCCCCCGACCCATCACGGAGCTGAACCTGCTGTAGGTACGGGATCCGGAAAATCCTGTTTTGATCCAGGCTTAACTTCTTCAGTCTTCAATTAAGGAAAGTGAATACAGAATCATAGCAATGATGGTATCTCAGGGATATTTACCAAGCAACTCAGGGAAAGAACATGGAATCGTGCTTAGACTTCTCTTGTGTGACCTTGAGCCAGTAACTTATCCTCTCTGGGTCTCAATACTCCTATCTTTGAATGGAGATAATATTTATTAACTTTCTAAGGTTCTTGTGAATATTAAATGACTCAATTTGTAAATTATGTGGCACAGAGTAGTAGTCAGTAAATGGCTGCTCAATTCGCAGGGAAAATTTCCAGGGATCTAAAACTTAACCATTTAAACGCCAGCATTTTCTTTACTTTAACCAAATAGGTAGAACTCAGCAAGTAAATTTATCTTTCTGATTCTGATTCTTTTAAAGACATGTCTCTTATCTCACAGTCAGGATGCTGTCTTGGGTAACATCTCCTGTCCTCCTTTCTCTCCTGAATGTCCCCCTTTCATGAACTAAGCCCAGAGGGGAGGAATGACTTACCAGAGCCACACAGCAGAGGTAAGCAGTGGGACTAGAACTTCAGGCCAGGCCCTCTGGCGTGCACAGCGGCACTCAGCGTGGGAGTGTGGCTGGGGTTGGAGAGGGACAGCCCTGCAGAGGAAGGCCTGTGGCTTTACCTCCTGAGCCCGGCTAGGCTGGCAAAACAGTTGGGGTTGGAGAGCTTGTTGTCATCCAGCATCAGTGTCTCCAGGGCGGGGAACCTCAAGATGTACCTTCTGCTTGTCAGCGATGTGACGGATGCCTCCCTGTGAGTGCAAAGATCTTGGGTACTGAGCCAGGGCAGGGACAAGTTCCATCTCCCCAGGAAGAACTTTTCTAGTGCTCAAGAGAGGTCCCTGAAGATGGGCATAAGAAGGTACAATTCCCTCCCTGCTGGCTTCTGTCCCAGCCCCACTCTCACACAGTCTTCTGTATGGAGAAACTTCATACACATCGTTGAGACTGGCTGGCCCTGGTGGTGCTCATGGGCAGTACCAGGGTGAACGAAGCACGGCCAGGTTGTGGGGAGCATTCTGCAGGTAGAACACTGCACAATTTTGGCTCAGGAGAGACCTCTGGGTATACTGTGTCACCCTGAGGACTGCCCACTATAGCAGTGCCATGAGGTGATGGCACAGCTTTGCCCCCAAGTAGGGTAAAATAGGCTGGATTAAGGACACCATTCTTGGGCGCAGTAAGGTGCTCCTCTTAGGTGACTCCATCAGACACATGGGTCAGTAAGTAGTAAAGCCGTCTGTTTTTATTTTTACTTTATTTTTTGGTTTTTTTGAGACACACTCTCAGTAGGTAGCCCAGGCTGGCCTCAAACTTACAGCGATCCTCCTGCCTTAGCTTCCCAAGTGCTGGGATTACAGGCATGTGCCAGCACACCCAGTGGAGCCATCTCTTTTTAAACACAAACTGAGGGTTTCCCAGATACCTGAGACTGATATTTGGGAGGCTGAGGTCTGGAATTGTGCAGGTGGGCTGGACAGAAGTGGTAGTACTTGAAGTGCTACTATTAATGTGATCCTGTGTTCTCAGGTAGATGAGGACCAGGTAATGCTATTTAAACACACAGGCAGATGATTAAAATCACATTTTCATTCTCCCTTTCATATTCTATCCCATGCACACACCAAAATAAAAACACCCATACACATACAGGCACAAGTACATATGCATCTGTTAGCCACAAACACACACAAAACAAGAGGAAGGATAATGACCATTTCCTCAGAGCCTACTGCACTCCTGGCATTGTGTTATATGTTTTACATATGTTGTCTCAGAATCTTAGCTGGGAGAATGGTATTATTTAGCTGCCTTTCAGATCAGGAAACTTATGCCTGGTGTGATCTGTAGAACGCACAAATTAAGAGTCTAGCTCTACCTGATTCCAAAACTCAGGCTCCCTCCATTGCCACTGACCTCCTCTCTCAATCTCATTGTCAATCCCATGTGGAGCAAAGGATGGGGAAAGGGGTGAGGTGGCTGTTGCCTAGGCTAGAGTGAGCTCAACAAAGGCAGGCAACATTCAAAAACTGGTCCTGGCACATACACATGAAGTCAGGAATATTTCACAGGTGAGTTCAGAGAAGGTATGTACTTACTTATTCTTTTACTCACACACACATGAATCTCTTCTGTACATATTTATGCAGCCAGATATTGAGAACCCAAAGAAAAGAACACAGCCCCCCACCAAAGGTGCTTACAGTCTCACGGAGGAGGCAGACCCACTGCACACAGTGGGGCAAACGCTGTGACAGAAGCAGGGGAGGAGGACTCTGGGAAGGTGATATTTAAGCTACTCCTTTAAGAAGAAATCGGCTATGTCTTTAACTACTGTGAAAGGAGAAAAGAACAGGGAGAAAATACACCTCTTTGTGGCTGGATCAGGATCAAAATGAGAAGCTCTTGGCAGCCATGTTTCCTCCCGTGGGGTCCAGAGAGACACACGCAGCCCAGCTGAGTGGAGGAATGTGCATCTGTCTCCAAGGCATGGCTGTGAGACTTCCAAATATTCTCAAATGAATGCCCCCTGTTTTTGCTTACTTTAAAACTGACAGACTTCTGTAGATGACAGCTATGATAGTTCTGACTGAAAAAAGGGGACAGAGCAGATGAAATTGCTCAGAGCCCCGGCAGCAGGGTGGGGCACAGGCATGAAGTCCCAAGACCAGCAACACGCCAACAAAGACGGCAGGAGGCCTTTGTTTTTTTGTTTTTTGTTTTGTTTTTCTCCGGTACCGGGAACCGAACTCACAACCTTGCGCTTGCCAGGCAGGCGCTTTGCCGCTGAGCTAAACCCCCAGCCCCATAGGAGGCCTTTGGTTCACGGTATTTCAGTCACAGATGAGTTTTATACCTCTACCTAGAAAGACCAACTTTTACACACTAAATTTTTAATCTCTACTTTAGAGCAAGAACAGAATGGTACCCAGCAGCTCTGCTGATTTATAATTTGTTGGCCGATCTTTATCTTATGCCAGTGAAATATGAACCAACTCAGAGATAAGCCTGCAAAATGTTACCCTTCAGCTCCACCGCAGAGGAGCTGGCTTTGTCCTGTCTCTGTGGCAAGTTATACTACTTTGCCTTTTTAAATTTCAGCTCTAATAATAACATAGGAAAGTCTCTTTTTTGTTTGTAAAACAGAAGTCTTAAAAGAGGGGACCATGAGAAGCTAGCCTCTGGCTGCAGAGAGTTTCCCATGGAGCCCTTCCCAGAGTCTCAAAAAAGAAGCTCTTTAAAGCAGCAGAATCCATGAGGGATGGATAGGCTGAGGGTTCCAGCTGTCCAGAGTGGTGCTGTTTTCATTAGCCCTTCTCTCAGCAAATGGAATTAATACCATTTAAAACGTGATAGGTCTAATGTAATGTTTTTTAGGAGCTAAGAATATGCCCAGTGTTTGGATTCAGCATTGGAAATTTGTGTGTCATACAAGAAGCATGGGATTGGCAAGCAGGGGCCTGAGCTCTGGCTCTGCTGCTGCTGCTGCTGCTGCTGCTGCTGTTTGCCCTGCTCTGTGTGACTTCTAGTTAGCACTGACATCTTGGGGCCTAGACCCTCTATTTACATATGTGATAAAAGGAAGTTTCTTTTACTTTTCCTTGTAAGACTTTGGCTTAGGCCAAAAATATTGCTCAATAGATTGAACTAATTGTTATTGCAACAAACAAGACAAAACTTTGCACAGTTTTGTTAGTTAAAAGGTCAGTCAGCTTCTGTGTTAAGATACAGAAAACCCACTAAGCAAACACAGGATGAGGAAGACATGGCTCACCAGACTACTTGTGTAAAAGAGGACTTACGACATAGCTGGTAAAAAAGTAGTGATCCTTTGGGCATTAGTAGGAATACTGAATACAACAAAAAGGGTAACAATTCCCCTCTTCTGTGCTGCTGAAGTCTGAGAATGCTGATTTGTGTGGTCCATAGCAACAGGGAACAGCCCTATGGAACAGCCCAAGTAGCAGACGTCAGCTCAAAATAAGAAACAGAACAATCTAAGGATGGGGTAGGTCAAATACGATTTCCCTAACTCACCCAAATAGAGATAATGGCCCATAAATAGAAATGCAAACAGGTCAGAAGAGAAGAGGCACATCATGAAATGGAAAAAAAATGAAGAGAAAGCAAGATGGACAAGGAGGCAGAGCCGGACCATGGAAAGCCTGTGAGCAATCCTGATGGAGTTTATCTTTAGAACACTGGGAAGCTGCTGAAGGAGTGTAGGCAGGGCGGTGATAGTCACATGTGCAGTTTAGAAGGATCTCTCTGGCTGGCAATAAGGAGGAGGGACTGGAAAGCAAAAACCTAGAAACTGAGACCAAACAAGAGGACGACAGAAATGAGCAGGCTCAAGAAACGTCTAAGAAGTACAGGTCACAGCACCTCGTGACCGAACGCATGTGTGGAGTGAGAGGGGCAGAGTTTATGTGGCTCCCAGCTTTCTATCCTGGACAATCATGCAGCAGGTGGTGAGCAGTGCCACTTGCCAAGACAAGGGAAGGAGGGAAAGAAGGAGATTCTGATACAGGGATGTGTGTGATCAATTTGGTATGCTGAGGCAATATGAGCTGAGAGCTCAGAAGACAGAGGTGGAAAACTAACCCACACACTGAGGAAAGGATGAGACCACCAAGAAAAAGTATTTTTAAAATGTAGATTCATGGTAGACAATGGGGAGCACTAACATTTAAAAGGTTGATAGAAGAACAGGAATCCACAGAGCATATGGAATGTAGACAGATGGCCTGGAAAAAATTAATGACAGTGGTACTTGTCTGGAGCCCTACAGCTTTCAAAGCACAATGATTTGATTGATACTCTGGTGTAGGCAGAAGTACATTTATTCTCCCCTCCAATACAAAAGGCAATACAAGTGCAGGGTGGTAGAGAGTTACCTTACTTTATGTAATAAGGCTTTCCACTGAAAACATCTAGAATAATGAATAGAACATAAAAAGAAAAAAGATTCATTATTCTAAAATGTACAAGAGATATGAAGATACTAAGGAAGAACAATGCCAAATCTAAAAACCCAGAGAGAAAAACTGAGTATAGGAAGCCAGTTTAACCCCAAGGGCATTTGCTGAACTTGTTGAGATTGAACTGTGGTTTAAAAGTCTCATGAGGCCAGAGAATCCAAGCTTAGAGCACAGTGAAGGGCGTCTAATCAGAAATCCTCTATCCAAATCTGGGACCCTAAGGGATACACCCTCAGGACAGCACAGATAGAATTAAACCCGTTCCCCTCATCCCAGAGCCAGGGAAAACTGTTTTAGCGTGAACAGAGAAGATGAGCGGGGGGAAGACTCGTCCTCTTGCAAAAGTGTAGCCCAAAAGCGTAACATCAGAGTGGCCCAGAAAATAGCCAGTCAGGGATTTAGTTTAAACTGATTCCATACTAAGTGCTCTAGGCACTGGGCCAAAATAAATGGAAAGGTTTATGGTACTGCAGACTAAATAATGTGGGCCAACTCTTCCCTGAATAAAAACTGGAAAACCCAGGCAAAACATATATATTTTAAGACAGTGTTCTTTAAGATACCTTGGAACTAGCAAGCTGTGAAGAAGTATGGGGCCAAGATTTGAAAGAAGCAGGAAATCCAAAGGAGTTCATATAAGATGGGGCCACTTCTTCCCTAGAGCTGTCTGCTGATTCTAGAAGTGGCAGAAAGGCTGATAGGTTGAGCAGAAATTCCAATAACCTTGCTCATCCAGGGGGCCAAAAACTGGAATCCAAGGTATGCCACAG